CAACCCTGGCAATCCCAGAGCCCTCGGAGGCGGAGCCCAAAGGGAAGACCGGCCGCTCCGAGGCGACCACTTGTCGCTCTGTTGCTTCGCGCGGCTTTCCGACCGGTCGCACAGAGGCAATGGAGGCAAAGGTTATGGGCTTGATCGAGAAGTGCCTAGACAAGAAGGTGCTGGAGATGCAGCTGAAGGTGCCCAAGGTACCGCAGAGCCAAGGCCTCAGCGCCCGCTCCGGGCGATCTGACCGCTCTGGCCGCTCCGCGTGCTCTGCACGCACCTCGACCGAGACTGTGGTGAGCCAGCTCGATCAGCCTGGGGTTCCGTCTCATGTGGAGACGGACACAAGCGTGAAGGCGGAGCCTCAGCCGGAGGCCGTGACGATGGCCGGCAAGCGTGCCCAAGCACAGAAGCTCTCTGATGCTTCGCTGGGAAAGTTCGACGATGACCAATCGCGCCTGGCACACCTGGAGATGCAGAAGAGTGCTGCGGAGGCCCGCAACAAGAACCGTTCCTCCCTGTGCTTTGGCTACGAGCCACCTTCGCGCACCGACGAGGCCGCAAAGGTGGAGACCATGGCCGGCAAGCGTGCTCAGGCTCAGAAGCTCTCAGACGCTTCTCTGGGTAAGTTTGATGCCGACCAGTCCCGCCTTGCGTACCTGGAGATGCAGAAGAGCGCCGAGGAGGTGCGCAACAAGAACCGCTCCGCCAACGCCTTCCAGAAGGCCGAGGCTCCCAAGTACCCTGCCCTGCTGCGCGAGGTGCCGGTTGTTGGTCCAAAGAGGGTAAGCAGGAATGAGGCAGGTATTTGTTCTTGCCCGTCTTTGGCCCGCACAATTGTACATCCCGATAATTGTGTTATGAAAAAACAAATATGTACGGGCACATTGGGGAATGGACAACCAAGTGGAAACTGCCATAGCATCTAGGGTTTTGGTTTTATACTATTCCGAATATTCAATACTGCCCATGTCAGGTTGAGGGACTGGCAGAGAAGAAGGGGGCGACGGAGACATCCATGGCTGGCAAGCGAGCAAAGGCCCACAGTATCACTAGGGATCCAAGCGGGCTGAAGCGAGTTTGCCTTAAGGACTTTAACCCTAAGGGTCCAAGGACCCAAATAATAGGGTTTTAGGGCCCAAATACCATTAATATTATCGTCTTTGGCCCCTAAAACCCAATTATTTGGGTCCTTGGACCCTTAGGGTAACTGCCCAAGGTAAGCATTATTTCTAGCCCTTGGGCAGCGCTCTGCTTAGTGCCGGCTTGTGGGTTCAGTTCGTACAGTGGGAGAAAGCCAAGCTGGGCCGGGCCGAATCTTTTTCGGTTGTTCGTATGCAATGCAAATTTAGGGTTTAGGGTTTGGGGTCCAAGTACTCAATATTCATACACTCACCCAACATATACGAAATATTAGAACCACGATTCCCCAAATGCCAAGCTCTCAAATCTGGTAGTTTTTTCAAAACGACGGGGCCCCAAAAAGGGACCCTCAATTTTGGGAAGCCCTTCATATATTGGGCGCTTGTAGCCTGAGAAAACGCAAGCTCTAACCTCAAGTAGCCGACGGCCAAGCACACTTTCATAGAGGGGTTTTATAAGGGTCAGATGGGGGTATATAGGGATATATAGGGGTAATGGACAAGAAAATGGCAACTATTATTCCAGGTTTCGGGTTTAGGGATATTATACCCCCAATAGTGGAAAATCAAAATCAAATGGAAAGAAGCATGGACAATCAAATGAAAACTAGGGCCAATGGCGGTTAAATGGGCTACGGTCTAAACTCCTTAAAGGGGGTCAGATAGTGTGTGTGTATATATATATATACATGTATATATATATATATAGAGAGAGAGAGAGAGAGTCCCTGATGGTTATTAAGGGGGAAACTAGGAGTTTGGACTATAGCTCATATAGACATATTTACCCTTAACCATAAGCCCTACAATGAACAACGCTCTCCTCGCAAACGTTGAACATATTTTGAAGAGAGAGCCTGTGCAGTCCCCTAAACCCTACAAGGCCTGAACCCTAGATTTTCTGGGTTTTGGGTTAGGGTTTAGGGTTAAACCCTACACGCTAAATCTCCCCATGAAATCCGACAGATTCTTGGAATCCCCAAGAAGCACACTTGTTTTCAGAGTAGGCGGAACTGGCTGATTTTCACGTGTACCTTCCTGACTTGTAGTATGTATTTAAGTATACTGAAACCCATTCAGGAGCACCAGCACCAGACTCTAGTATTCATCCTGAGTCTCCTCCCTGTAACATTAGAACCTCTCGCCCCCTGATATTAGATATTCCCATTGTAGTACACTATAATGTATTGGGGATGTTTAATATTGGGGGGTTATGACAGCATGGGGGAGGGGATTGTTCCAATAAGGCACCCGGGACTGGATTAGTTGGGGTCTTCGCGAAGGCCCAGAAGGTCTCCGAAGCCAAACTCGGAAAGTTTGATGCTGACAAGTCCTTGGATGCATACCTGGACACACGGATAAGAAAATAGGGTTTAGGGTGTAGGGTTCAGGGTTTGGCTGTAAAGGTGTAACTGTATAACCCCCCATGGTCTGCAGCTTTATGGGGTTGAGACTACTTGGTACTGCTATCGAAGTTAATTGGGGTTACAGGTAGGAACACACGGATGAAAGGATTTAGAAGGGAGCCCGACTTAATTCAGGAATGTACTGTAGATCACATCAGGGGCCCTGGTCTCATTTGAAGCTGTTCCTGAAGCCTATAAACTCTATGCCCGAAACCAAGGTGCATTAGACTGCTTCAGATTTCGGGTGTTGCCAGTACAGCTGTGTTCAAGGTTGCAGGGTTTGGGCTTGGGCTTTGTGTTGGACATGCTTTGTGATGACTACGTTTAATTCCAGAAGTGTGTCAAGCTTGATTCGCGTCATACTATCTGGGCGGAATCGGAAATGGTCTTGCTTTATGACTTGCTTCAGCTGTTTTCTCCTTGGGACGCGAGGCCCTGCGGTGTTCAAGAGGCAGCTTACATGGAAAAGTCTAAGCAACCCCATGCTGAAGAAGAGCACTTGCGGGAGCAGTCCGCATTAATCAGTCCTTGTTTGGGGTCCCTGCACGTACATGCCCTTCCCATATCGCTTCCCTGGAATGCATGCCTTCCTTGCAGCAGCCAAGGACATGCAAAAGAGTGCTGAAGAGCTGCGCAACAAGCACCGCGTCGGGCAGGGTGTGTTCTGAACCTTAGATCCCAAGCTACAAATTGAAGCTAAGCTCCCGAGGAGCATGGCCTACTTTTACTAAAGATTTGTGTTTGCCAACGTTCAGGTCCCTACCTCCGGGTTGATATTCATGGACTCTACCTTTTTCAGGTGTAGTCGACCGGGACCTCAACTTGGAAACATGTCTAGGTTTGGGTGTCATTATCTATTAAGTTTTGGTTCCAGGAGCCTGGTAGGCGTGCCTGGCGTGGGATGTTGACCGCAACATCTCAGCCATGACATGCCTGAAGCTTTACAAGTCGATCAGGCTTCTGCGAGCTTTTGTATAGCAAAAGCAGCCTTGGCATCAGTTGGGGCATCCCGCTCCTACAAATGGAAGGGACACATGTACAGCCAATCCGGCGTAGCCTAACTTATGCCTTCCTGCTGTACCTCTCCCGCTTGCTTGTTTCAAATGTGCGGGAGATCATCTTGTCAGTGTTGTGGCCCCCTGGAAAAAAAAAGGTTTGCAACATCTTCTCAGCCAGCTTCTTGTTGAAGGTGCAGCCCTTTTGCAAGTTGGCGACCTGCAGTGACAAGTGTCTGATTTGCACAGAGCTCATGTCCTGCTTGCTTGGCAGCCATCTTTGGGTCAGCACGTTGCGACGGATTCTTGAACCACAGCTCTTTGAAGTCATGGCCCGCTATGCTCAGAACACCACTATTGGCACCACCTGCCCCTGGGGCAGCGGCGACGCCAGCCTCCCGGATGCTTTCACCCTCGCCGAGATGAAAGCGGCAGGCCGCAGGCAGTCCAAGGAGGCCATTGTGACCGCAGCGGCGCCCCAGGTCCAGGAAATCTCAACCCTGGCAATCCCAGAGCCCTC